TTGTAGACGAAGCTTTGATTGATAAAGTTGTATGTGATGATACTCTCTTGATCTTTGTTGATCTTGTTTGCTTGCTTGCGTCTCTTGCTTTTTGCGATTGTCTTTAGAAGAATGATGATTCTGGTTTCATCTTCAATATATATACCCCTACGAGTATATAGTGCTTCTGGTCATCTCTTCAATATACCCCTACGGGTATATAGTGTAAGTATCTTGCCTTGCGTACCAAGCTTGTATGAGTTGTCTTCATCAAAACACAAAAGCCTTGAAGCTTGATTCTACATGGAGAAGGTTATTCTAAGTGGCAGAATGAAAGCCTGAACTTTCCAACAAGATGTCTGATCAGATGTTGTGACATCAAGCAGAAACTTCAGTTTGCAGGAGCTGTGAGAAGAAGTAGATGTTATAGGTCCAAGTCTTGGTGTATCTAAGATGCCTTGCTATGGAGCAAGTAGGATATGTAACTTGAAGATCAAACTTGCTTGGTAGATCAGAAGATTTTCTAGAGCTCTGGAAGAAGTTGAGTTAACCAAACAGTGGCATTTGGTTGGTCTCTAATGTGATTCCAACTAGTGAGCTTGGAACTAATTACTCTTGTGCAGAAGGGTAGTTAGTTGAAGATCAAAGAAGGGTCTGGTTCTGTTCATATATTGGAGCTTGTGGTAGAAGCCCTAAGTTGCGTATGGAAGATTACCCTATTTTGGAGTTGTATTTGATCAAACTGGTGGAGTTGTGTTCTCTAAAGATCTTCAGTTGGATTACTAGGAAGTAGTAAGCCCATTTGTGGGCATATAAAGAACCATTGGATGTTGTGTCTGTATCATCTGGTTTGTTTTTCCTTGGAGAAGGACCTGAAGATCTGTTGTGGAACTCGTGATTCACATTCTGACTAAGAAGTACTCTATCTTGTCATACGGGAGAATGATGAGGTAAAAGGACTGTCTTGGAGGATGATGTGAAGGTATTGTACAAGACTAGAGTGCTTCATTGCATAAAAATATGGACTATGATGAGTTATATGGAAGTGAATATTCACCAGTTAAACCAGAAGTGTTCTAACTTATCATATGGGAGAATGATGAGGAAAGAATTTCATGGATTATGGGGTGTTTATCTTGCTCAGGCCAAAAGTCTTGTGGAGAAGAGTTAACTCTAGAAAGAAGTGGAGCAGTTTGGTACCTTCTCACTTTATGAGCATGAGGTTGGTCGTGAGATACAGTGGTGATCTTGGAGCATCTTCTATAAAAGATAGGGGAGAACTTCTGTTTGATGGGTGTATTATTTGCTTGTATTTCAATTAATAAGGGAATGCGTCCAGTAGGTGTGTTGAACAAAGAGTGAGCTCTTAAAGACATGAAGACGAGTCTTATGTTTTCCATTCACGTGCTTCTGGAAAAAAAGCACTTGTTATCCTTGATATGGGGAGTTATACTTCTAGGATCTGTTGCTGCAATAGTACAGTTATTTTTCAAGCAGTTTGTGATTGTATGCCTCTATGAGGATGGAATGTCAGACAAGATGTTGTGATATTGTGTCACTGCTTTAGCTCATGATGAACATGACAGTGCATTCCCTTTAGCTCAGTCACTGGATGTCAATGGATCAAATTAGTTTTGATTGTATGCATATGGAAGTCAAGGAAACATGGCATTCACTCTGACATCTGGGAGAATTTTCTAGCTGAATCTGAGTGATCTTGAAGATGGTTATGTCTATCATGTGACCACCTCTCCTATAAGGTTTGGGTCTGGTGTGATTTGTGAAACAAGGGATGCAGAGTTGCATGTGTTTCCAGTGTGTGAATATGAAGATGTTGAAGTAAGTTTTCATGTGTTTGGATTTTCTCTTTCAGGGGGAGTACTGATGACAGGGGGAGTTGTGTACCTGTCTGATGTGTAGCTACATGGTTGTAGCCTATATCCATGAGTTGGTGTCTTAAGAACCAAAGTGAGTGGTGAAGGAATTGATGTCACACATGATGGGCTGGATTTAGGAGTGTGATGCTTAATCTAATGATTCTGGAATACGATGTGGAGGATGTATTTTTTAGGAGTTGTGGTATCTGGATCTATACGAATCAGGACTGATTTTACAATGGTTGAGTGAGTTCAGCAGTGGGATTTAAGTCCTTTTTCATGGATTGTTGTTGCAGGGGTGCAATGTTTAAACAACTTGTGTATCTCATGGGAGATTGTGAGATGGCGGTATGGAGATTTAGACACCATGCATTGGGGGGTTTAGCTATGCATAATATTCAACAAAAACAAAAGTCCTCTTGTTCCTAATTATCCAGAGCTCTCCTATTTCTGCTTTAATTCTCTCGTACGATCAAAAGTACATAACAATTCAGGGACACCCCCTAGCATTGGGGCGTTTAGCTATGCATAATATTCAACAAAAACAAAAGTCCTCTTCTTCCTAATTCTCCAGAGCTCTCCTCTTTCTGCTTTAATTCTCTCGTACGATCAAAAGTCCTTCCCTTTGTAGATGCTTATTTTTAATGACGTACTCATAGTAAGGAACCTTTGTAGATGCTTATTTGTATCTTCATTGATCCTTCATAAAAAAGGCCTACTTTGAAACTATCAGATAGTGGACGGATGTAGCTGGAACTGCGCTATATTAACTGGTTGATTTACTATTGTCAACCGTACTATCATAGTATTTCCTCTTCCATAGTCACCTAGAAGTTTTTCTGCTGGTGGGTCGGCCATAATAGGAATTCCCGGCTCTGAGTCTGTGTTGGAATCTGTGTGCTCGGAGTGGACTAAAACTGCTTCTTCTCTTTCTTGCTCAAAAATAATTAGTTTTAAACTTGATGTTGTCAGTCCTTCTTACTTTGCTTGACAGCGTCTTGCGTGCAAAGATCTCTCTGGTTCTGCGTCAAAAGAAAATACAGGCGAGGTCTTACCTCGCATACACAGGTTAGAAAATTATTAGTAATAAAAAAATAACAGAAAAATAAAATTAAAAATTTTAGTCACAGAGTGACAAAATTCCAATTCAACTAACAAAGTACTTAAAATTTTGGCAGTCCCCGGCAACGACGCCAAAAACTTAACCGGTTAATTAGCAAGTGTACTAATTTTTACCGATGTAGTAATAAGTGAGGTTATCCCCAGAATCGATCTCTCGAGTACTGCGTGCAATTGTAAGTACATGTGTTGTTTCAATTAAACAAAATATCCTTGGGGGATTTTGTTTGGTGATTTTTAAATAATTTAGTGACAAATGAAATAAGCAGAATAATAAAATTACTTTAACTCGAGAGATCGATTCTGGGAATAACCCCGCTTATTACTACATCGTTAAAAATTAGTACACTTGCTAATTAACCGGTTAGGCATCTGTTATGACTTTTTTTATTGGTTTCTGCCTCCAAGCAATCTCTTATTTATATGGATTGATTCTCTCATCATTCATCCATGTTTATTTTTATTTCATTATCCTTCATAATTACAGTCTTAGGCAATGTATGATGCCCCTATAATTTTCAGGTAACGTCTTTCCCATCAATAATTGTAACTCTTATGCCATAATGGATCATTTTGTACAAATGAGGTCGATCCCGGTTTGTTTGAGTAAGATAGGTCCCAATTTATTTGTTTTAGTACTCCTAACCGGAATCCGACTGATAGATATGGTTTTGACCATCCGACTTTCTTGCCTCTCCATACTCGACCTCAGAAAATTCTGGAATATATATATATATATATATATATATATATATATATATATATATATATATATATATATATATATATATATATATATATATATATATATATATATATATATATATATATATATATATATATATATATATATATATATATATATATATATATATATATATATTATATAATTTTATGAACAACTTTAAATGGTATATGATAATATTAACCATTTTGATTAATATTTAATAATATATTATTTATAAATATGTTAAATATATTTTTTTATTAATTATTAAATGTCATTTAAAGAAATATTTGTATATAATTATTTTAAAAAGGTATTAAATATTTTATTTCTAAAAGTATTATGTAATTTGAGTTTTGGTAATAACTATATAAACCACGATTAAAAATGACTATAGAATGAGATTTCAATAATCCATTAATTTTATTGAATCAAAATTTAATGGGTTTAATTTCAAAGTTTTTAGTACCGACTAACATTATTTTTCATTCAATATTTTAATCATAGTCTAGTTGATAACTCAATTTATAATTAGTAATATTATAAATAATTTTAACTTTTTCTTAAGTTTATCCAAAAAAAAAAAAAAACTTTCCATCAAAATTTGATTGAAAAATGATTTCATTACTTAGTTAATAAGTCTTTATTATTATACTCTCTAATGACTATATTTAAAGCATTTTCTTAATAAATTTTAATTATGCCAAAATAAAAATTGAATTTAAACAACAAATGACACATCATTATTTATAAAAATAATAAATTAATACGTATCTCTTACAAATAACACATCATTACGAATTATTAGTTTCGAATGTAAAATATTTAAATGAATTAAAACTATTTGAATCTAAAGTTTATAGACAATTTTCATATATAAAATAAAAAGTCAAATATATAATTTAGTTGATAAAATAAAAATAAAATTATAATAATTTAACAAATATAATTAAATGAGTGCATAAAAATATATTTATCCTATCAATACATATCAATTTTAGTTAACCACAAATTTGGTTGTAAAGGACAAATATTCTCTTACTTTGTGAAATATTTTAAACAATCATGTGAAATTGAGATTGGTACTCTGCACCTTCTATTGTTTATTTTTGTTAAAAAAATTATAATAGAAAAAAAACAATAGAAAAAAGAAGAAAAAAAATCAAAAGTGTAAAGTAATATCTGTATTTCCGCGTAGATCAGTGAATTGATTATACGCGGACACGGTTTCTTTTTCTTTTCCTATTTAACAACTTCACAACAACTTCCAAAATGTGCAAACCACTACACTCATCCCAATGGCTGATCGAGTTCACCCAACCTCTCCACTCTCAATCGACTCTCAAACGACGTCGTCTGAGAAGACCGCTACTTCATCTGCTCCCAAAGCAGCTCTATCCGCTCCCAAAGCATCTCCACCGGCGGGAACCTATGTCATCCAGGTTCCCAAGGATCAGGTCTACCGCTACCCTCCGCCAGAGAATGCTCGTCGATATGCTAACTACAATCGCCGGAAAAGTAGCAGGTGCCGTTGCTGCTGTTGTCTCTGTTGGTTCATCGGCGTCATTGTAACTTTGAGCGTCCTCCTTGCGATCGCTGCCGGTGTTTTCTACTTGGTAATCCGGCCGGAAGCGCCTAAATATTCAATCAACCGCGTCTCCGTCAAGGGAATGAACCTCACCTCGCAGTCTCCGATCTCGCCGGAGTTTGGCGTCTCTGTTAATGCTGATAACAGTAACCGTAAGATCGGAATCTACTACGAGAAGGATAGCACTGGTGAATTGTTTTACAGAGACGTTAAGCTCTGTAACGGCGCTTTACCGGCGTTTTATCAGCCGTCAAATAATGTAACGGTGTTTCGGACAGTATTGAAGGGTAACAACGTAGAGGTGGTGGGATCGGATCGGAAAGCGTTACTGAGTGCTGTTAAGATACAGAGCGTGCCGTTAACGATGAAGCTGAGGGTACCGGTGAAATTCAAAGTTGGATCTGTTAAAACGTGGGCGTTCAACGTTAAGGTTCACTGTGTTGTGACGGTGGATGAGTTAACGGCGCAAGCGAAGATTGTTAACAGAGATTGCGGTTACGGATTGGATCTTTGGAATTGGTGATGAAATTTATTATTTGGATTTAGGGATTTAGGGATTAAACTGTTTAGAGATTATAGTTTTTGGTTTGGTAATTTTCAATGCGCTTTTTTGGGCAGATATTGTGAATTTTTTTATGACTTTTTGCTAATTTATTTATGTTTTTTTAGCTGATATATTTAACGAATTTGATTTTCGTTGAATATAATAAACTTTTTTATTAAAAAAAATCTAATTTTAAATAAGAACTATTTGATTATGACTGTCAGTATCAAATCGGTCCAATAGTTTAGTTCAAAAATGTCATTTTCTAATTCATTAATTTATTAAATTTGTTTTAAAAAAAAATTTTAATTGTAATTTTGGTTCTTCTATTTTTTTTATTTTAATTTTGATATTTTAATTTTAAAATTTGAATTTTTAATTTTTTTCAAGATTTTTGTCCCCTTCCTAATTTTAGACCAAAATTTTATGACATGGCACTGATGGTGATGATGTGTCATTGCCTAATCTACAAAATTTAAATCTAAGTTCTTCTCCTCTTCTGTGCCTTTAGCTACTCTTATCTTCTTATACATGTGATTTTCTCAAAATCGGATACGAAATATGGTTAATTTTGAGTCTATTCGCTGAAAGAGTATCTTGCTTTCTAAAATTCAAAAAATTCATCTTGAAACTTAATATCTTCTTTAAGATATCTTCTAATCTCAGACATCACAACAGAATCTTCTAATCTCAGACATCACAACAGAATCTACCAAAGGGTGTTGCCTTTGAGATCTAGAAATTTATTAAACTCTAAGAACATGTTGCGAACAAAATGAAATATCAAAGCAATTAGAGGGATATTTTTTTAAAAATAAACCAAATCAAAATATTCTACTATAAAATATCATTGAAATACGGTTTTTTTCACAAATAGTTAATTAATGCACAAGCACAATTGAAAAAGTGAAATTAAGGGTTCTAAAAGGAATGAATTAAATGAGGTAAGTGAAATCATAAAATTGATAAACATGAATTAAAAAACATTTATCATCCGATAAGAAATAATTTAGAGAAATGAATTTTAGAAATAAGGGATTCCATGAAAATGTGGTTTGCAAATTGAAACCAATTTTGCAGTAGAAAATTTTCAACCAAGTCTAAATCTAAATCTAAAAGACTAAACTAATTTTTACTATTTAAGAAAAATGGGTTAAATTTAAATGATGAAAATTGTTAGAGTCACAGCGCAATTTATAGCTTCTAATAATGATATGAAATATCACCGAATTTATAAGAGAAAACTACTTTGTATATATGTTTAATTCTTATGTTGTTGTTTTAGACAAACATAAACTTACATTTATATAGTAACTCATGTACTATAACGTGAGTGATCTACATTTCATACAAATATCAGCCTTTGCCTTCCTATTATTACTCATTATGTTGAATGGAGTATGTTTCATTTACCACACTCAATGTTTTCATATTTAGCTTTGCTAAATATTCCCTTATTCCCACAATTCTCCACTTCGTTCATCATTTGAAACATTCAAATTTTGGACGAATATGGAGTAATGTTTAACAAGTTCAAGCAATGTTGGAACTTGCTACCTGACACAATCTTGGTTAACATGCTAGCTGGGTTATCATCCGTATGTACCTTCGTAAGAGAAATATGACTTTCCTCTACGACATCTCGTACAAAATGATACCTGACATCTATATGCTTGGTTCGAGCATGATGAACCTGATTCTTAGCCAAATGAATTGCACTTTGACTATCACACATCAGTCTCACGCGTTCTTGCTCAACACCCAAATCACCTAAAAGACCCCTCAGCCACAATGCTTCCTTTACTCCTTTTGCTACTGCCATGTACTCGGCTTTCGTAGTAGAGAGTGTCACTGTAGACTGTAACATCGATCGCCAACTAACTGGAGTACCGTGTATTTTGAACACATAATCAGTAGTAGATCATCGTCTATCTAGATCACCAGCATAATCTGAATCAACAAACCCGCTCTAAATAGCCTTTTTGACTCAAGAACAGTTTCCAGTTTGTCCGCTCTCTTCTAATCTCCATACCCAGTATTTTATTTGCAGCACCCAAGTTCTTCATCTCAAACTCTTTACCAAGTTTAGACTTCAACTTATTTATCTCCACCTTGCTTTTTGAAGCAATAAGCATGTCATTGACATACAATAATAGATAGATATAATCACCTCCATGAAGCTTCTGAATATAGACATAACTGTCATAACTACTTCTAGAGTAACATTGTTTTATCATAAAAGAATCAAATTGCTTGTACCACTGTCTAGGGGATTGTTTCAACCCATAAAGTGATTTCCTCAAGCGACATACCTGACCCTTTTTACCCTCAACCTTGTATCCCTCAGGTTGATACATATATATATCTCCTCATCTAAGTCTCCATGCAAGAAGCTATCTTCACGTCTAGTTGTTCCAGCTCAAGATCACCACGAGCTACTAAACTTAATAGCACCCGGATAGAAGTATGTTTCACCACTGGAGAAAATATCTCATTGTAATCAACTCCTTCCTTTTGTGCAAACCCCTTGGCCACTAGTCTAGCCTTATATCTTGTACCGCGCGACTTAGTATGATCTTCTTTTCTTTTATACACCCACTTACAACCGATAGCAGACTTTCCTACAGGCAATGAGACCACCTCCCATGTCTTATTTTTGTGAAGAGATTGCATCTCTTCCTCCATAGCAACCAACCAACTCTCTCTATCTTTGTCTTTGATAGCTTGCTTGAAGGTGATCGGCTCATCATCTTCGACTGAGAGTGCATATTCCACCAAGTTAACCTGCCCATAATGCCTCAGAGGTTTATCTGACCTAAACTTCTGAACTAGTTTTAAATTTCTCTTTGGTCTAGTGGCATCCAAAGATTCTTGTCGCTGCTGTTGTAACACGTGTGTATTTTCTTGCTGAACCTCCTCATAATCATGTTCATCCTCTTGTTCGTCTTCACTGGTGATAGGATTCTCCACCTGACCACGACTAGAATCTGGTTGGTCTTCTGATTCTATCTCAATAACTTGCTTATTTGATATCGTCACATCACCATCTCTAGGCACCATAGATTTTTCATCAAAGGTAACATCCCTGCTAATCACAAACTTAGAATCGTCTACACTCCAAAGACGATAGCCTTTGACCCCTTTTGCATATCCTAGAAAGATAGCTTTCTTGGCTCTATTATCAATTTTGTTATCCTTAACGTGATAATAGGCTGTGCATCCGAAAATTTTTAGTCTTTGATAATCAACATGTTCACCTGACCATACCCTATAGGGTGTGTTTCCACCTAAACTAGAATGTGGGGATCTGTTTACAACATAACAAGCTGTAGCTACCGACTCTGCCCACCATTCTCGACCTAACCCAGAATTAGAGCGCATACACCTTGCTTTCTCAAGAAGTGTATGATTCAGTCTTTCCGCGACTCCATTCTATTGCGGTGTGCCTCTTACCGTCCAGTGTCTAACAATGCCTTCCTGTTCACATAACCTCTTGAAAGCTCCATCCGTATACTCTGTACCATTATCCGATCGCAGAGTTTTCAACTTTTTACCCATTCTGTTCTCAACCATTGCTTTCAAACACTTGAAAGTATCAAATACCTCATTCTTATGCTTAAGGAAATAAATCCAAGCATACCTCGAATGATCATCAACGTATATAACAAAGTACCTGGAACCACCCTTAGAAGTAACCGGAGCCGGACCCCAAACGTCTGTATGCATGTAGTCTAACATTCCCCTGCTTTTATGCTTGCTTGTAGAAAACTGCAACCTATGTGCTTTGCCATACACACAATGTTCACAAAATTCCATGCATGGCTTTTCCATGTTCTTCAGCAAACCTTTCTCACCAAGCAGTGATAGACCATTTTCAGACATATGCCCAAGGTGCATATGCCACATCCTGGTATATTCAGTTTGATCTTTACTTCCACTGATTCCAACTGCCAAATCACCTGTGACAGTTTCCCCAATAAGAGGATACAGATTCCTGTGACGAACCCCCTTCATCACAACCAAAGAACCACGAACAACCTTTAAGCCTCCATTTTCCAAGATTATTTTGCAACGATTTTCCTCTAATACACCAAGAGAAATAAGGTTTTTCCGCAAATTAGGGACATGCCTCACGTTCATCAGAGTCCTTACCGCTCCATCATGCATCTTGATTCGTATTGTACCATACCCCATAATTTTACATGCATGGTTATTTCCCATTAAAACTGTACCACCATCTGTGCTTTCGTAGTTAGTAAACCACTTCCTATTTGGGCACATATGGTGTGAAGCTCCTGAATCAAGCATCCATCTCCTGGAGATATCATGGTCTTGCTCTGAAACCGAGAAGTAATCATCCTCGCCATTTGAGACATAACTCGCCTCCTGCAAATCTTGTTGTTTACCTCTGGAGTTGTTTTCGTTGTTGGTATACTTCTTAAATAATACCCTCTTATTTGGACAATTTGCTTTAAAGTGCCCAAGTTCACCACATTTAAAGCATGTTCTTTCCGCATGAGATCTAGATTTTGATCTAGACTTGCCGCCCCCGCCTTTTCCTCTTTCATTGTTCCTCCCTCTACTAGCAAACAACCCTTGTGCTTGTTCATTATTTTCTCCAACATTACCAGACATCCCACTAGTAGCAACCTTTCGGAGATCATCCGCTAATAACGATGTTCTAGTTTCATCCATGGTTAGAGTATCACCTACAAGCATCAATGTTTGAACTAGATTTTCATACTTTTTGGTCAACAAAAGAAGCAACATAAGTGCTTGGTCTTCTTCATCAATCTTCACTTCTACATCCTTCAAGTCTGATATAATCCTATCAAACTTGTTGACATACTCCCGGATTGAGGTGCCTTCCTCCATCTTGCAAGTATACAATTTGGACTTTAAGTAGATCCGATTTGTTAGAGTTTTCATCATGAAATTACTATCTAACTTTGACCACACGCCAGCAGTCGTTGCTTCTT